TGCTGAAAGTATTCCATCAGTTCTGTGACTGCATGGTTAGCTTTGTTGCAGTCTGAACACATTCAGCACTTCAGACCTCCCCYTTCAACTGATAAGAATCTGAACATCCGAAGGATCTGAAACCTTTAAACTGCATATCTTACATCTTAAATGATGGTGCTATATAAAGCTGCAGACTCACACGTTCTGTTACATGAGTCACTCTGACAAAGACACACCTATGCGTTTTGATGTTGGTAGTAAAACAAATTGTAGTTTCCCGGTCATTTGATACACAAGACTCATTGTAAATACACACATTATGTAAAAAAGAAGAGGGTGACACATGCAGACTGAGACGTGCCAACATTCAGGAATAACTCATAGGTCGACTTGTTGCACAACGATGAATTTAATTTATTCTGAGTATTCATCAGACCTCTGTGTGGATGGTTGTTGTGAAATACAGCTTTGTCACTCATTCATTGAAGCCCTTTTGTGTAGAACGATACAGGAAAGATGTCAGGAAAAGAGACTCTCGGTCTTTGCATTTCACAAGTTGGCCTTTTACACAACATTCTACGAAGCTGTAACAATGACACATTTCCAGTTTACTACAGTACTATGCTATTAAGTAGCATCCTGCTCTGACGTTTCATTATGCCAGCTGTGTCACTTATTTGAGGAAAAGTATGCAATGGTATTTTGGTCATTTRCTATATTGGTTTAGTTTATGACTCATCAGATGAGCTTTCAAAATTTTAGCTCAGCGTATTATTTCTGAACAGATCTCTCTTTTGTATCTGCATAAAACGTGTTTGATATTTATCTATTCTCAAATTACCACATCCTCAACCCATAAGTTGTAACAAAAAACAGCACATTTTTATTTTRAGGTTGAAGCTTAAAAAGAGTTACTGCAGTTTGTTGTTGAAAACAGTAAATAAAGGAATAGTATGAATCTTTTGGAGTGGGGTTCKGTTGAAAAGTTATTAACAGCAAACATCTTACCTGTTGTAGATAGCTCTTTGAACGACCTCTTATTGAAGAAACAGAATTTAATTCTGACTGAATTGATGAGCCGGAGGCAAAGATATATAGTAAAGTRCATTTGCTTCGTTACAGTAATTCTTAGGAGGATGTGTAATTTTACTAAGTATTTTTAATTGTAATTTTTACTTGTATTTCATTACATTCAAAACATTAAAATTATTCTTTTACTTTTTATTTTAAAATTCAACACCTAGTTACAAATTTGAATATGACTGGAACTCATTATGAAAAGAGAAAAAAAATGATGTGTTGAATTTACTTAACTRAGATATATCAAATGGTTTCACTAAACTGAGATAAGTAAATGTAAAGCAATTAACTCACCTCAGTTAGTGGAACCAGTATGGTTAAGGTAAATTGCAACACTTCATTTCTAAGCATGTGTGTTCAAGTACTTTTACTTTCCTGATCACTGTGAGCAGTTTTATGACTTTTAATTCTATTATAAGTGAAATTAATATTTTTTACCAGTCATTTTCTGTTAAGGTATTTTTACTTTTACTTTTGTTCGGTTTTTTAACCTGGGAACTCAGAGAAACCACAACAAGCCCGGCCGAAACATTAATCAATTGACACCAGAGACCAGTAAGATTTATAGTTCACTTTGCAAAGAGGAGAAGTTCAGTGATACTTAGCTCAGACGTAAGCCTGGTGAGGATCAGAGAAGTTCTGCCCTCTGGGGGCGTGAACAATCGNATTTGTCACGTACCTCAAGACTTTATTTGAAACACCTTAAGAAGTTTAATAAATCCAATAAAACTCTATCACTTTATTTATTTTAAGTACTTGAAATACCTCTGGTTAAAGGCTAGTGCAACCAAAAGTGGATTTCTGCCGCATTAAAATAACTCAAATCTCAGAAATGTCGTGGCTGCTGTGGCTGATATTAACACTTGAAAATAACAAGAATTACATAACAATCACGTAACGTGAAATAATTGCAAAGTAAAATGTTGCAAAGTAATATTTTTTATGACAGATGTTTGGTTCTGATCCGGCCTTCTTAGACTGAACATTTGCACCACCTAACCCCCAAGGAGCAGAAACTGAGATGTAGCTCACGGTAAATTCTTCATTTATTTTTTGTAATACAGGAAAATAACTTGGCCTCTCATTCAAAAGAAAAGAAACATCTGAATTCTGATTCTTTCCCTCGTTTCCTTTTCTAGTTTGCAGTGATTTGCTCTTGAAAGATACATCTACGCTACAGGCAAAAATGTCAATCATTCCACTTTTATGCGGTTTTACGGAATGATTGTATCACGGTGCACTGTTACAGTGCAATAAAGGTAGACAGTCTTGATGGTGCTTCAAGAGCTCTCAGCAAACGTAAATGTATTTTGCAAAAGAACACAGATTAGGTTGCATCTGCATATTTGTGCATATTTATCAAGAGTCTGATATCTTTTCTCCTCAGACAAAGACGAGTTGAGGAATACTGTCATGTAAAAAAAGCAGGAACTCATCGGTCCTTGGTGCATCATCTAGAAACTGGCTTCCCTCATCTTTYGTTCTCCATCTGTTGACCACTCACCTTTCCTCAAACAGGGGAGGGGTGTCGGTGAAGTTTAGTGAGGATGATTTATCTGCACTTCGTGCACCGTTCAGTCATTGCAYCTTTGCACGCGCACAATCTAGTTTTTCCCACCCTGCCTCGAAACCGCTGCYGTCTCAACCAAAGTCTCTACTCATTCCATAACAACCTCATTCAGTTCACACACAATCAAAACCACAAACACGCATTTAAGGAWGATTAAAACTTTAACTCTAATAACAATAATAAAAATAATAATTTACTTGAGTCATCTTTAAAGAAAAAAACAGCTTGTTAAATCTAGATCTAAAACTAACTAGTCATGCTGCAGAGCTGATGTTATCAATGACATCCATTTTCAAGAGTACTGTCATTGCTGGAATGATACTATGCAAATCGTCCCACGCTGACTCAGCATGTGACTAACAAAATAGTTTCAGTGTTGAGTCCTGAGTCAAGTTGGGATGGAGCTGAGTCAGACCCTCTGTCAGAGTAACACCACTACGTTTTATTCAAAGTGTGTCCTCAGCGTGCAATAAGCTTTTTTTTTTTTTTTTGGTGCCGCTTTGGTTGAAGAGACAGCAGAACAATAGAAGCAGCAGGTTCTGTTTCGATTTAAAATGCTTTCCTCTCAAGTGATAACTGTGTTCTACAGTATATGTGTGACTAAGTGAGATCGTCTTTGCATGCTTGTGTTTTTTCTTCTTCTTGTGTGTGTGCAAGCTTGCATATATGACATGGGGGTGAGGCTGGCTAGTGACGGTAAGTTAACATAGACTGCTGCTGGTAAGTGATGTATATGGGTCACGTTTGAGGTTAGAGCATCAGCCTTGTCAAAGTTTTACTCTGCGTACATGTTCTGCCGTACGCTGCAGGATGTGTTTACTCATTCCAGCACACCATCACATGGTAGCAGTTGTACAACAGCTCATTCGAGACAATCAGCAGGAACACCAGTTCTTTTCAGGGGCTTTATTTGCATCTGTAGAAAAATACTTAATAAATACTAAAAATGCATATTAAAAGCAATAAATAGCACAGTTTTGATACAATCACGTGTATGACACAAGAACATTCTCAAACCACAAACTTGTCCGTGGGACAAAAACATAAAACTTGAGTCTTTGAACAACAAAGACAACAATTGCCTGATAATAGCATTCATATTCCTGAATATTATGGACTGAATGTAGACAAAAAGTGCCCCCGCCCCCCAACAAAATGAGCACAGTAATATAAATATAAAAAGAGCAGAGTTCACAGGTTTATGTGTCGTTTCGATGCCAAGTATGTCTCAATGTAGTTAAACAACAAGTCCAGCTCCCCCATKGCCTTAAACAGACCTTTACTCTCCATCTGCAGAGAAACAAACATATATTTTAGCTTATCTTTTACTGGAAAATATAGATATTATTTTTAAATACAAAACAGATAAATCTCATTGTGTTGATGCTCACCTGAGTGTAAGTTGAGTTTAAATTTCTGATGTCGAACTGATTTTTGCAGGAAAAGTAGTGTCTCTAAAAGAAGAGGAAGAAGAAAAACGTCCTGTTAGCACAGTTAGCACAGTTAGCACAGTTAGTTAGCACAGTTAGCCAGGCTTCTGCTCAGAATTCTCTCTGGTGAATCTAATCATCATTGTGCTCCATTATCAAATAAGAAAGGCTTTGCAGGTAGTTTGTTAGGAGCGAATTAATAGCCAAAACTTAAAAATACAAATAGGAAATGCTAATCCTGCTCTCTTCCTGTTTAATAGACTGGATGAGAGGTTTTGTGCACTGCTGCAGCTCGTGAATCACCGATTAATGCAACACCACGGACCTGTGGTGGAAGCCTCTTCCTCTCTCATTGTAAATTCTAAGAATGATGTCCAAAAGGACAAAACGTTTTGAGGTAGAAACCAAACTTGTGTTTCTATTAGTCTGAACTCACAATTTCATATTTAATGGCAGTAAAAAAATCCAAATAACGCAACTTTTTTAAATTTCCGGCTGAAACAACTATTTTAAAATGGACCATTTATAAATAGGTTTTGTTTTAATACCATAACAAATTATTATTATTCTAGTTATTTTTCTAAACATCTAAACATTTTTTGTCTTGTTTCTAACTTCCCAAAGTTTTCACCTCCTGACCCCAAAAATATGAATTCCAGAAACTTTTGTTTACTTAAATACAAAAATATCACGGATAAGTCAAATAAAGAAGACTGTAACAATTCAACAAATCCCTTAAAAAATAACTACTTTTTACTGTAATAACAACCGGCAATAATTTGTTTACATTTGTATTTAGTTCATTGATAAAATTACTTTAGTTTTATTTGTTTATTTATTGCTTTTTTTTATAATTTAAACCATCAAAATAAGCAGGTTTTGTAGTATAAAACCAATGCTTCTACTAAATCCACCCAAAAAGACAATTTTGCCTTAAAATACTTTCTAAGAGGCTTTCTGTTTAGGTGTTTTTCTTATGTTAATTTAAAACTATTTTGCTTCWTGTGCTTTTGAAGCCCATTGTCATTCATCAAATGTCTGTCAGTTTATAACAACCAGCAGACATAACTAAACTAGGTTAACCTGACAGTTCATTTTTACAGTGTGGAGCCGGTGGCAGTGAACGCCTCATGTTGACTTGGGAGCACGTGTCTGCTGCTACTCACACATTTAGTGACGTCAGTCTTGAGCTGATCGAAGATCTGCTGGATGGACTCCACATGGGGCTTCAGGCTCCGGGTGGCGTCGTCACTGACTCCGGCCACCGCTGTGGGCAGAACCGTGTCCAGATAAAAGCCCAAAATGCCGCCTATGGCTTGGCAGGCGAACGGACTCTGAGGGAGATTGAGAGGAGGACCAGCCTGGTTAGAGGGTTTGTTTTTGCACTATTCGGCGTGCAAGACGAGCCTCCAAAATCTTTTTTTATTTTTTTTAAACTATGTTGGATAACGAAAACTCACCTTAAATGAATCCTCGACGCTCTGGTCCAGCAGCGCTGTGTCAAGATCATCATTTGCTTCCTGAAGGAAGAAAAACAAAAGTTGTGAGTTTTTGCAGAGAGGAATGAAAACAACATCATCTCCGTGATGCTGCAGGTAGCAGCTGAGGAGGAGGAGGAGGAGGAGGAGGAGGTGCGTTGATGTTGTTTTGTTTCTGTTTTGTTTTACTCACATAGAAGTCTCTGATCCGGGAGTAGTCCTGCCTGAGCTTCTTCAGCCGGCCGGGGAAGCCCTCCACGAAGCGGCAGCACTGGTTGTTGCAAACCCGGGTGCTCCGAGACGTGGCGAAGATGGAGAGGACAGCCAGGAGGGACAGGAGGACAAACCGAGGAGACATGCTTGCAAAGAGCTGCTTCCAGGCTGGGACGGTCTTCTGTGTGGAGAGCAGAGAGTGAAGAAGCTGCAGGCTGTGTGGATAAATCCTCCTCCTTGTGGGATCTTGCTTGCAGACCTCAGAAGTGCACATTTTGGGGCTCAGCTCCCCTCTCAATATATAGGCAAAATTGGGACAAAAACTTGAGGGAGGAGACTTTACTGGAAAGGAAACAGTTAACATGTTCATAGTGGGGGATTTTCTCTCTCTCTCTCTCTCTCTCTCTCTCTCTCTCTCTCTCTCTCTCTCTCTCTCTCTCTCTCTCTCTCT